GATGATGATGATGATGATGATGATGATGATGATGATGATGATGATGATGATGAAGGACATGATGATGGTGACGATGAAGGACATGATGATGGTGACGATGAAGGGCACGCAGATGATGACGATGAAGGACATGGTGAGGATGATGATGATGATAACGACGGACATGGTCATGGTGATGATGATGATGATGAAGATGATGAAGATGACGAAGGTGATGATAATGGTGATGATGATGATGACGAAGGTGATGAAGATGGTGGCGATGTTCATGGAGATGAACATGATGAACATGGAGATGACGAAAGTGAAGACGATGAACATGGTGATGATCACGATGATGACCATGATGAAGACGATCATGGAGATGAAGGTAGTTCCGACGGACATGGGCACGGTGAAGATGACCATGGTGACCTAACCCATTCCAGCCATTCAAGTCTAAAGGAGCATACAAATTCAAAATCTCCAATGTTTGAGAGAATGATTGATATGTCCCATTCCACTTCAGGAAGCAATTTTGGTACTGGAAAATCCAACGTCTGCCAAGGTGTAGGCATCTGGAAGTCACTAATAGGTATCGACAAATGGTGTGAGAACAACTGTAAACGGAACTTCTGTCCGAAGAAGATATGCGAATGTTACTGGTGATCACTCGCGTAGCTGCGTGACTGTGCGCTTTGTGGGGTTTATGTGGTGAGTTTAAGGCTATTTTTAGAACTCTGCTAGCGTTAATGCGATTTCTGCTCTGTTCACATTTGCTATTATTTGTAAGGGGAAAGGTATATGTAGGCCTAGTCGGTGATTTATTTCATCTATCCTTGTTTGTAGAACATTTTCATCTGGTTTCTTTTTATTTATTTATTCGAAAAACCATAATGTTGCAAGATTCTGCTCTATCATTTGTTAGTCTGCTCTTATGGGTGTCAACAATGTTTTGAATGTATTGATTGTTGCTGTTTCGGGTTATAAACTGATCAATACAATTAAGATTATTTAGGAGGCAGGCTGCTTCGACCCTGCCCTCCCAGTCAACCCAGAGGCTGAGCAGAAGGACAGGCATAAGGACTCGGGTACATTTACTGAATACATCGTGGGAAGGGAGCTCATGAACGTCCTATTCTAGCCAGGCTAAGAGAGTAACGAGTAAACAAGAGTCGCCTGTACTCTTGACTGTCTCCTCATGACAAGTGAACAGTTCGTGGGGAATCAGTTTGATGTGTAACATTTTTTGCTGAAACATAAATCTATCGACTTTTTCCATTTTTAAAAAAAAGTCGAATTTTGTTTTTGTATTTTTGCATTATATTATCATTTCCTGTACCCAATTTCATATATTTTTCACACAGTGTGCTTATATTGCATCAAACTGTATAGTGTCCAAGGCATTGGCAGGCATCCTGTCGCAGGTTAAATAGTAGAAAAGAGAACCAACTGCCGTGCTCATGTCGTGCTTTTGATTCCTGGATCTGCTATGGCCGATCTCGACAATTTCGTGAATATGCATCATTTCAGTTCAAATCAGAGGCACTTTCTCGATTTGATTTTTGTTTTAACCAACAGCTTTGTTAACGTCTCCGTGTGTTTGTGCGTTTACGTTTGTGTGTGTACGTTTGCGTGTACGTCAGATAAGCGCGCGCGCGCGCGCGCGCGTGTGTGTGTATGTGTATGTGTGTACGTATGTGTGCGTTTGCGTCTGCGTTTTCGTGTGAGATGCAATGCACTTGTGTGTTTGTACATGTATGCGTTTGTGAATGAGCAGGTTTTGTTATGAAAGTAGATTAGCGTCCAACTGTTTATGTATGATTGTATGTATGTGTGTGTGTGTACGTTTGCGTGCACGTCCTGTTTAGATGAAGCGGTTGAGAAAGCAGTCTAACCTCTTGTCTGTTTTGTATAAGCTGGTGCTTACTATGAAATAGGGGAGGATATTTCCTAACAACACATCAGGAACTTCACTTGGGATGATTCGTGGGATAGTTTGGGGGTGGGGTGGGGTGGGGTCGGGAGATAGCTGTGGGTATTTTGCACAAAAAAGAAGGATCCAATGGGACTTTATTCACAATTTCTGTAGTTATAATGTCCCTTCGAGACATTGTGGCAGGGAGAATGATACAGGGAAACGGATTCTTGGGGTACGTTGCTCTAAGACAAATAGCCACATTGTGAGCACATTTGTTTGTGTGTGTGCGTGCGCATTTGTTTGTGTACGTACGTGTGTGTGTGTGTGTGCTGTGCGTGTATGTTTGTGTGTTAAAAAAGGAGAGAAAGAGAGAGAGAGAGAGAGAGAGAGAGAGAGAGAGAGAAAGAGAGAGAGAGAGAGAGAGAGAGAGAGAGAGAGAGAGAGAGAGAGAGAGATGCTACTCTAGAAAAGTAAGAGTTAGATACGTGAAGTAAACAAAAAGTGCGCTAACGGAGTCTGAGCGCTCCATACAATGATGTTTACTTCGACCGTACAAGGGACTGTGTGTTGTGTTTTTTGTTGTTGTTGCTGTGTGTTTGAATGCGAGTGTCTGTTTGCTGTTTCTCATTTTTTTCTATTTTTATAACTAAAACAAGAGTGTTATAGGCCCTCGGCCTAAGAGAGCTGTGCACAAAAAAATTATTTATAGAATAAAGATACTTATTTAAATCCTGTTTGTTTCTTGTACATTTTCTTGCCCCACTGGGAGTTCTCTCCCCTGTTTATAACTTCACCCAACGACAGATTTCACATTTTAACTCTCATTTCCGGGATATAGGCCTACTATGAAGATTTGCATATAGGCGCACACTCACACACATATAGTTTCTGACACGCACTCGCCCAAACACACACACACACACACACACACACACACACACACTTACATACACACACACACTCACACACACATGCACACACACGTACATATACGAGAACACGTTAGGCTACCGGACTCGTAATCCTAAGGTTGCGGGTTCGGGGGTTCAAATCTCCGGCCAGATGTTGTGTCCATGGGAAAGGCACTGTACACACATTTTTTCACTTCAACCAAGTGTGAATAGGCACCCGGCCATTGACAGTGAAAGATCTTGTCAGTATGGTAGTGTTTTCGCGCCTGTAAAATGGCAGCTTGCACAGCACACTTCCCAGGAAGTTGAGATTGTAAGAAAGCTATCAGGGCGTTATGGTAATAATTTAGACTGTAAAGCTCATAGAGCTTGCGGCTGAGCTGGGATTTCCGCTATA